CTTCATAGCTGCTACAGGACCTCCCCCTGTGCCCCCCACCCTTTAAGCCGTGGGTGTTGGGATTCAGAGGCACATTGTGCTGCTGTGTTTGCAGCGAGGCTGGGCACAGGTAGGTGTGTCAAAGCCAGCTGCAGCATACCCTTCATGAGAGACAGAAATAGCCAGGTACAATGGGTGCCTTATTCTGCCCTCATGTCCCTCCCTCTAACAAGGAAGCCTGGACAAAACACCCTCCAAGACATAGCATCCAGGTACACATGGATCCAAGGCCAGAATGTCCTGGGATCGTATCTGGGAGCTGCCCACGATAGGCCTAGGTCCCAGTCTTACTGCTCTGCCTTACCGAGTTCACTCCCTTTGCCCTGGGCCCTTCATACTAGGCGGCAGGTTCCCGGCCCTCAGCTCCACCACCCAGAGCATCCTGAGCACCGCCCACCCACCCATCTTGGTGGTGGAAGGCCTGCAACCTGCCATGCAGAGCAGGTGATCGACCACTGTTCTTGGAGCTAATGATTTCGAATCCTCCCCCCAGCTTCCCCCACGCCACGAGCCAGACCCTGCTGGCCAAATTCAAACAGCAGCATGAAGACAACAGGTACTTCCTCGGCACCCCCGTCATGGAGCCTGCGTTCATCATTCAGCACTTTGCAGGGAAGGTGAAATATCAGATCAAGGTATGTGTTGAGCCTGGGAGACCTGAAAGGTATCATGTGGGTGACCTGGAGGCCCCTTCATATTGGCACTTGCTCTGTCCATCCCCTTTATTAGTCATGCTGGGAGAGCTGCCAGGGTGCTCGGACCCAGCCCTGAACACCCGAGCCCAAATCCGCAGTTTCAAATCCCCAGCCCAAATCCCCAACCCCAAGTCTCCAGCTCCACAGGCAGGAGGAACCACTCTCTTTTATTGTGATGGGCTCCACCCCACCACCAGCCCTTCCAATGCTGGCACTGAGTGACTGCCCACCTCTGCTCCCACCAGGACTTCCGGGAGAAGAACATGGACTACATGCGGCCGGACATTGTGGCGCTCCTGCGGGGCAGTGACAGCTCCTATGTGCGGGAGCTCATCGGCATGGACCCAGTGGCCGTGTTCCGCTGGGCCGTGCTCCGGGCTGCCATCCGGGCCATGGCCGTGCTCCGGGAGGCCGGGCGCCTACGGGCCGAGAGGGCCGAGAAGGCTGCAGGTAGAGGGAAGCCCTGTGTCACCTTCGAGAGGGGGACATTCAGAGTTCGTTTTGAAGTGCACTTTTCAGTGACATTTAGCAATATTCACAATGGTGTGTAGCCACCACCTCCGCCTAGTTCCAGAGCTCTTTCGTTGTCCCAAACAGAAACTACCAGGTGTATAATTTAACCTCATCCTCCTCACAAGGGGGGAAAGTGTGTCTCCGTTTTTCCTTGACAGCCTGAACAACTAAGTAGTTCCTTAGGGCCCTTGAGCCGCAGACGCCAGCTATGTGGCTCTATTTTACGAAGGGCATTGATTAAAAGGAGGACCACAAGGATAGGCCTTTATGAGAAGCAGGAGTAAATGGTGCTGTTTAGGGCTCAGACACCTCAGTTCCCTGTTCTACCCGCATTTGAGTATCAGGCCATGTTTTTAAGATGGGCTCAAGTCAGGATCGCAGCTTCATGAAAAAGACAAAGGCCTTTGAGCTCCAAGTGACCCCACTCCCTAAATCCATCTTATCTGTGTGTCCCTGGCAGGTCTGGGCAGCCCTGGTGCCCGAAGTCCCCTGGGAGAGCTGCATAGAGGAGCCAGCACCCCATCGGAAAAGTTGTACCGGTGAGCGAGACCTTGATTTGTCTCAACCAAAGCCAGTAGGCAGCGGCGTTATTTAAAATGATGTCAGAAGGCCCACACCCTGAGCCCAGGTTGGGGTTGACCTTACTCAGAAGTCACTTGAACCAGAAAGACCCAGAAGCAAACAACATCTGGCTGCCGCTTTCCTACACCCAGAAAGGCAGCCCTCACTTGGTGTGTCATCTGCTTTAGGAACACTTGGGGCAGCTCAGTTTACAAAGAATCCTTTTAATGGCCAGGTTGTGGCCATTGGTGGGTGGGGCCAAGGGGCCACTGGTCCTGCTGAGAGACAGACTTGATTTAAGGGCACTTCCTCTCTCAGCCCAGCCAGCGTGTCCCAAAAGAGGATCTGCTAAGATACTTCATTCACAGTCAGAAACGCTGACACTTCCTTGTTGCACATGAAATGATGTGGGTGTTTTGTGGCCTTTTAGCAATTACCAAGGGCCCTTCACATACCCCAGTTTGTACTGAGTGTAAAAGTGAGCTGGCACGTGCTCCCAGGAAGGTGAGGTGAAAAAGTCCACACACCGTTCAGACATCTGCAGCAATGACAAAGCCAGAAGAGGGACCAGTTGAGCTAGACGAGACAGGCGAAGTGTATTAGCAGTGAGTTCAGCACATGCCAAGGCCCTAGGGTAACCAAGTCCCTGACTTTTTTCTCAAGACTCACAAATGCCTTTTGTAATAAAAACTTCAAGAAATGCATAAAAGCGTGTATATGAAGGTAGAACTAGCACCTGAGTAAGTGGCTGAATGTCATTTTGTCTGAAAGCACGGTGTCTCGATTTCTTGCTTTTAAAAAGGTGTGTTTTTATATCAGCTTTTTCATCCAAAACGGGCAAGCAGGGAAAAAAAAAAACGTGTTCCTCCACCCATTTGTTGGTGGGGGGTTTTGATTTTTTTTTTTTTTCTCCTGCAAAGACTGTAAGTTTGGCCCTTGACGAGCAGTCACTGATGTGATGTCATTTTCCCCAGAGCCATGTCCCCGGGCTGTGGGCCCCACCCCAGGAGAGCATTTAGTTTATACAGATTCTCCCTTTCAGCTGCTCAATGCTAGATTTCTCAGTTGACGGCTCTGAGGAGTTCGATATTAACGCTTTTGAGGACATCTTTGCTTTCTATGAAAGCAAGAAGTAAGTAGAGCGAGGGCCTTCGAACCCAAGACCAGGGAGGCACAACAGAGGAGCCAGCGTCCCGAGGCGCTCAGCGCAGTGTCCAGGGCCAGGAGAGAGGGGGTTAGCAAGCCAAGGGGCTCCAGGTCCTGGCAGGGAGGGGCGCTTTGACCATATTCGGCCAAGTTAGGGGGTTAAGGGCAGAAGCCATGGGCCTTGTCCGGAACCCCGGCCGCTGCACTGACCGCTCAGGGTGTGGAAGTGAATGTGACCGCCCTGTTGTCTTTGCTCCCCGTGCCTCCCTGGAGGGCGAGGGAGTGGAGGTAAGTACGGCCGTCAGGCTCAGGCATGGTGCATGGAACACACAAGGGGCTGCCGGTCGGGGTCTTTCCAGGCCAACTGCCCAGAGCTTAAACATGCATTTGAAATAACTGGAATGAGGTTTTTAAAACAGAAACAAAACAAAAACCTTGAACCTCTCATCCTCATCCTGCAGCTAGTCATTGCTACCTCACTTCCCAAAGTTCTATCAGAGACATTTGTCATGTAGATGTCCTTCACAAATACCCATTTTCAGAGCATTTGATTTTCACCTCTAAGCCATTCTCATTGTCACACATGGGTGTCAGAGTTTGGGCCTAGAAGGGATGCAGACCTGAACCTGAAACCTGAACTTAGAGTCATTGAACAAAACCGAGCTGATAAGATTGAACTCTCTGGGGTAAAGCTCTCCCTCGGCAGTCATGTGCACCATAGGGACTGAGCAGCATCCCTGACCTTCACCCGCCAGATGCCAGTAACGTCTCCCTCTCTTCCTCCTACTCATGACAGCCAAACAGCATCACCCTAGTTGAGAACCCCTGTGTGAATTTGAATTTATTCATCCCAAGGCCTTTCTTGAAGCTGACAAGGAGGCTGACATGTGGCCATAGAATCAAGAGAAACTGATCTGCTTCCCACAGAGAGCCCGCCTTCTATTTTCAGCAGCCCCTTGATGCTTTTCACAGATTCCAAAAGACTCTTCAATATGAGACCTTTTTCAGTGATCTGAGAAACCTCACGTTGCAATATCCATTTGGCCTGAAGCGGCACTCCCAGAGAAGGGGGAGCCTCCTTGGGATGGGGGCCACTCCTGGCCAAACCTCCCCATCTTCTCAGTACAGGAGGGAGAGGCAGTGGTTAGCAGGCTCCCCAAGCTGCATGTTTTGGCTCCAGTGGCCTGGGGACAGTCCTAACTGTGCCAGGGACCCCGAGGTGGCAACCTGCTGCTCTAACTCAGTCTCTTCTCTGTCACTGCGCCCCCCCTCCCCTTCACTCAGCGATTTGCATGATCAAATCATCAAGACCATCAAAGGATTGCCCTGGCAGGGTGAGGACCCCCGTAGGCTTCTCCAGTCCCTCAGTCGGCTCCAGAAACCCCACACCTTCGGCCTGTGAGTGCCCCCAAGGTTGCGGGTGCCCCCCAAAAAGTGCAACGACCGCCTCCCTCGCTCCCGGGACCTGTTAACCTGCTGAATCGGCTGCTACAAATGCTGTGCTCTGTCTTGTAGTTTATTCTCACACCAGCTGTCAGTCAATGGCCGTCATATGCCCACCCCAGGGTCTGCGCTGTGGCCCAAATCCCCGCCGGCTCCCCAGTGCCCAGCACAGCTTCACAGGAACACGCCTCCCACAAAGTGTCTAATTTTCTACCCTAAAACGTGCAGAGCAAGGCTTGCTTCCTTCCCTCCTTTGGCCACTGTGAGCTCATAAAGAAGCCATTGGAAGTAAGGCATGTGATTTTTGGCCCTCCTTTGTGTGGAGAGCGGCGTGATGTGGTAGGAAGGGCCCAGAAGCCACATAAACTGAGTTTGGACCCAGACTCCCTCTTGCTCACTCACCTCATGGCCTGAGTGCTCTGAGCATTTGGTCTCCATCTGCAAAGCAGGGGTGACGATTTTCATACCCATAGTGCCAGGCAGACACTCAGGGCTGGCTGAGGGCACAGCTTGTACCCACAAGGGAGCCAGTTTCCAAATTCGTTTTTATTAGGCCTTATTCTACCCCACGGGGATTAAGATGAAACCTGACACATAGAATCTCACAGCTGCAAATTCTACAGATCTGTGGGGCCCTGTCTCCTCGGCTGGTCTTAAAAATGAGCCAAGCTGCAATTTTTTTTAAACTTTTTTTCTTTTGTTTCCATAGTGTCTGAGAGTGTAGGGACTGTTCCCCCTTCCTTGACCAAAATATCGTCTTTCATTTTTTAACTTTGCTCCAGTGCGAGTCCAAACAGCGCTCCTACCCAGGCCCTATTTCGGTATTTTGCAGGGCAGACCCCTGCCCTGCCACCGGCTCTGTGGGCCTGCTTCAAGTTTGCCAATGTGTAGCAAATAGAGCTGGGATACATGGTGGGTGCTGGAAACTTTCAGGGTCCCTCAAAGCTCCATTCAAGGTATCCCCTTCATTTTGTGAGATCCATCACCTTCCCCATAGCTGGCCCTGCGGAGATGCACGTTCTGCCATGTAGATTACCAGCCCGCCCCCTCCTACTCTCTGGACATCTAGGTGGCCCCCAGACCAGATGCTCCTGCAACCCGGGGAAGTCAGTGTGCACAGACTGTAGCAGAAGCACCCCGCCGGGTCCTTGGAGAGGTGGTGGTGGCTGCCTCGTTGCACTTGTGCGTCTCGACTCTCCGCTCTCTGCTCCTGCTCCGTCTAACCTGCCAAGTGTGGCTTGCTGAACTAACCCAGATCTAGACCCCATGTTCCTTCTGTTCACAAAACCATTTTTAATATTTTGACAGGAAAAGTAAAGGTACCAAACAAAAGCAGATCATTCCGAAGGTAAACACGCGATGCCATCTAATGCCACCTTGCTTTTGCCCGTCTTAGAGCTCCTGGCTCAAGTCATTTTCTGGAAAATTGGGGTGGGGAGGTGGGGCTTTTAACTTCTCTGGCTTCCTTCCTTCTTTTCTCTTTTTTCCCTCTTCCCCCTCCCCCCCCAAAAAAAATGTTACCCGTTGAGATGATTTGGAGGTATCTTTCTTTGGGTTTCTTAGAACCAGAATTTGTACAAGTGAGGCATAGAGGAGAACTCGTATGATAAGCCTAAGAGGGGGCAGAGGAAGGACTAAGCGAGGAGGTACGCTCAGCCTGGTTGATGGGGAGCCCAGAAGCGTGAACAGCACCACAGAGTTTATGCTGCTCAGAGGCAACAGACCCTTCTGCCCTACCCCACATCAGGGGTCTTTAGCCAGGAGCCACTTCCATGGGATGCAACTCCTGGGTGTCCAGAGAGAAGAAATCCTTCAGCTAGGATGGTCCTTCCAGGCAGCCAAGACCCCAGCAGCCAGCCGTGGGTAATATGTTTTCAGGTATTCTGTCTCATTTTCATGTACAGCATGTGGACAGATTATGAAGTTTGTAGGAGAGTAAGAGCAGCCTCTAGTCTGGTCAGCAGAGGAGATTCCCTCACTGGCCACACAGGGTTGGCACTCCTTAGGCTGTGCAGAGGGAAGGCTATGCTCCATGGCCCTTGTCTTCCAGTATCTGGGCTGCGAAAGAGGCTGTAATCAGCCCTCCTGGAGTTGGTGCCGTTCACAAGGCACAGCCCAGGCTCAGTCCCACCAGGCCCACCTACCTCACCCCTACAGCAGCACAGTCCTGAGACAGATCCAAGAGCTGCCACCCCCAGGGTCTTTGTCTTAGCTCCAGGATCAATGCCTCCTGTTGGTGCCCGTTGTGGCCCCAGGAGGGCAGGCCGGACCCTGTGTGTCTGTCCTAGAATCTGCTGGACTCCAAGTCCCTGAAGCTCATCATCAGCATGACCCTGCACGACCGTACCACCAAGTCACTGCTGCACCTGCACAAGAAGAAGAAGCCACCAAGCATCAGCGCCCAGTTCCAGGTGGGTGGCCCAACGTTCATGTGGCTCCACTAAAACAAACATGGGGAGCTGATCATTTACCCAGGATTCCCAAACCTGGCACTGCTTGACATTTGGGGTCAGATGGATCATTCATTCTCCCGGGTAGGGGCCGTCCTGTGCATTGTGGAATGTCGAAAAGCATTGCTGGCCTCCACCCACCCATAGCACTCTCCAGTGGTGGCATCCAAAAAATCTCCAGATATTGTGAAATGCGCCTGGGAGGATAGAATGACCCCTGCTTAAGAACCACCAAGTTAAAAAATATCTCGAGTCAGCATGTGAATTAATGTAACTACTGAGCTGTGACCTTAGGTCATGTTTCCCTTTTTCCCCCTGGCTGCCAGGAAGCTTAGGGATACTTTTTTTTAGGGGTTCTAGTAGCTGCTGACCCTCACCATTAGGTTCTTTATTCCTCCTTTTCCTCAGTCAGAGTCTTCTGTTTCCACCTCGGCTTTTTTTTTTTTTCTTTTTTTTTTTTAATTACAATTACCTTATTTAGGGGCTCACACAAATCCTTTTTGGAAACAGTAGGCCAGAGACCAAAATCATGGCATCCATGGTCTTTTCTTAGCTGACAAGTGTTTTAAATCCCCAGAAGGAGTTTATCTGGTCTGGCTCCCTACCCCACCCCACCTTCCATGTGAAGCAAAGATGAGGTCTGAGCAACCCTGGGAAGATGGTGGCCTTTAGGCACAGGGACACCACAGCTTACTCAGTGGCTCCCTGGGGTAGCACAGCTTCCAATCAGAATGTCCCTCTGTACCCTCCCATGTCCCACATCAGCACAGTCTCCCTGGTGGTGCAGGCAGGTGACCTGGACCCCCTCCCACAGAGAGGCATGGCTCGGGAGGTCCCAGAAGAACACCTTTCTCTTTCCCCAGACATCCCTTAACAAGCTCCTGGAGGCGCTGGGGAATGCAGAGCCCTTCTTCATCCGCTGCATTCGCTCCAACGCTGAGAAGGTGAGGGGCTCCTGCATCCCGAGGAGGTGAAGGCCAAGGTCAGGTGGTCACAGGGTTGCTGGGGTTGGCGCAGGGCCTCAAAGAACTGAGTGTTCACAACTGTTTGGCGTGCCATGGCCAGCGGGGGACAAGGGGGTCAGCAGGAGGCAACAAGGGCAGCCATGAGCGGGGACGTCCTCTGGAATGTAGAGGGGCCCCAGAGAAGGTTTGCTCGAGGAGGGACAGGTCAGGGTTGCTCTTTAGATACAACCCAAAAACAGGCAGTACAGAATGCACCAGAAGGGAGGGATTGAGGTTGTACAGCAGGAGCACAGAGCCCAATGCTCATCCAGAAGTTTCTGGAAAGACAGAGCACTGAGCGGCCCTTGCTCTGCTTCTTTCATCCCAGTGATCCACTGGGACTTTAGTGGGGGCCATATGGGATCTGGACTTCCTCTCTAGTGCAAGTGAAACCTGGGCAGGGGACCCTGGTGGCTCTGTTTTCTCCACCCCTTTATCTCTACTCTTTCTGTTGCCCTGGCTCGCCCTGCTCCTGGGACGCTCTGACGATGACCAGTCTGCCTTCTCCTGGCAAGTTCCACAGCTTCTGCCCACTCAGCAAGGACCTTAAGTCTTGTCCTCTCCTCTTCTCCCTTCCCACCTCCCACTTCCCCGAGTACTGTCTCAGAGAAGGTCTCTAGCCCCCATTCCTTTGGCAGCAGAATCTGGCCCCTCTTCTTCCACTAGAGATTTCTCCACTTTGGGCAACTGGAAACACTCCATCAGCACCTGTTCTGGGCAGGGGCTGTGCCAGCAGGTGTTTTTTGCCATGGGGTTGGGGGCACCCTGTGTGTTATAGGGTGTTGAGCAGCATCCCTGGCCTCAAGAGCCCATTAGATACCAGAAACACCTGCTGCCCAGTCATGACGACCCCCTCCCCATGCCATTCTCTCCCCTCCATTCACTTAAAATAACACCCACCAGCGTGGAGGCCAGGCCCCTGAGCTCCAGGCTTGGAGCCCCCTGAACCAGCATCATTCCTAGCCCCTCCTCCTTGTCATTCCTACAGCAGGTATCTCCCTACATCCCTGTCAGCCCCTCAGCCTCCCACTCCTTCTCTGGGCCTTCACTCAGCTTTTCTCACCTTCCTCAGCCCTCAGCACTCAGCCCAGGGTCCCCTCTCCTGTGATACCTCCAAGTGGCCCCAGTAGGATTCGCCCCCTTTATGCATCCGTGTGGCTCCCATGCCCAGAGTATCTCTCTATCAAATCCTTAGTACTTACCTCGACACCTGACAGTACGAGTGGGACCTTAGGAAAGAACTCTTTGTAGCACATCATCTTGGATTAGGGTAAGAAGTAGCGTCTGTCTCCTTTACACCAGGGATTAGATCAGATGCCAGGCTTTCTAGAAAAGACGAGTGCCCCGAGCATCGCTGCTGACTGGTTTCGTCTCTTCATTCCAAAAAGAACGTCTAGAGCAAGGAAAAGTGGATCTTCAGGTGCACACAGCTGCTGTGCAGGGAACAGTCCCAGACCGGCCAGGGCCCACATGTGTGCCCAGACCATGTCCATTTCTAGAATCCTGTGGGACCTTGTTTCACAGCTCCCAATCTCCAGCCACCTGTAGGCTTGGGCACCTGCCCTGATCACTCACATGCCGTTTCAGAGAGAGCTGTGCTTTGACGAGGAGCTGGTGCTGCAGCAGCTGCGCTACACGGGCATGCTGGAGACCGTGCGGATCCGGAGATCGGGCTACAGTGCCAAGTACACATTCCAGGTAGGCCGAACGTGTGTGGCTGCCCGTGATACAACTGGGGGTCAGCCACCTCCCTCTTCCAGAGAGAGCACGGCTCTGGAAGATAAACCTAGCAGGTTACCTTATGCCAAGGCTTCTCTGCCTGGCACCTCTGGCATTTGTACCAGATCATTCTCTGTCAGAGAGGGGGCGAGTTTCCTCAGAAGAGGTAGCTGGACCCAAGCCAAGCCTTGAAGGATACGGAGATGTGGAACCAAGTCAGGATGAGGGATTTGCGCCAGCAGATCCCTGCACAGCTCTGCTCTTTATTGAGCACCTTCTGTGATAGACACTTTTATACCCAACTCTTTTATTCTGCCAAGCAGCAGCAAGGAGGTCCTGGTTTCTATTTTCTCAGTATGGAAACTGAGGCCCAGGGAGGTGACGACCTCCGCAATGGCTCCCCAGATAGTCTCAAAGCACGAGGGATCATTAATAACCTCAAATTGTTGAAGACTAAATTGCTAGAGTAGTTTCTCAGTCTCAGTACCATTGTCACATGGGGCTGAGTCATTCGCTGGCACCAGCTGTTTAGTGCTTGAGTGGGCACTGGCCCCAAAACCAAAGGTGGCAAAACCTGGTCTCTGTTCAAGCTTACCCTTATGGCCTTGGGAACTTGGCTTCATCGTGGCATGTCTCTCTTATCCACAGAATGCTAATATTATCTTTCTCACTCTATATAAATAGGAAAGGCAAAAATTACAGAAAAGGGAGAAAATACTGATGCGTTTTACCAATGCGTGGCTCTTAAAATTTGACATACTTGTTGACTTAAACAGCACATATCTCCAGCTATGGTCCAGCGCGCTAGTGAGCTATAGACTATGAGCCCCCCAAGGGTGGCCCCATCTCCCAGGCATTGCCCCCCAACAGTGCATGCACCCCACAAGCCCACAATAGCCACTCACCAACTGACTGAAAGATCCAGTGCTCTGTATCGGCGACCGTCTTTCTTAAGTTTTAGACTTTTCAGAATGTCCGAGATTTTAGTGTCGTCAACACTGATCATGTCAGACCAAGTTTTGGCTTCAGAAACTCGGCTTGACGAGGGGACTGCCATAGCCCCGTCTCCTTGTCAGTGGTGGGAACATTCACTTGGATTCTCTTTCTTCTGCCAAATTCACCCAGGATTTCACAGAGCAGTTCCAGGTGCTACTACCCAAGAACGCCCAGCCCTGCAGGGAGGTCATCTCTGCCCTGCTGGAGAAGATGAACGTAGACAAAAGGAGCTACCAGATTGGGAAGACCAAGGTCCGCATTCCCACCACTCCGGGTGGCTGCAAACCTGTATCCTGCCTTCCGTCGTACACAGGGTCCTCCCATGGCCCAAGGCCCTGGGTCACAGGCTGAAAAATAAGAGGCTCTGCTGAGGAAGTGCATTCGTTGGGGCCTAGCATGTTATTTCTCCATGGAAGGCAGAAATATGCACCTTTGGGATTGGGCTCAGGCATCAAGCCTGTTTCTCATTTTCTCACATGCAGGCTACACCATTCCACAGGGTGTTCAGGGGCTATCAGTAACCGTTGTGGTGTCTGGCAGGTTTCCTCCACTCATTTTCCCTCCAGAACTGTCTCCCACCTCTGGGGGTGTGTCAGTTGCTTCTTGTCCAACAAGTGCCGAGGTCAGCTGTCTTATGGCTTCACCTAACGTGAAAAACCCCTTCATGGCTCCCCAACACATTAGGGTTACCATGTGACCCAACAATTCTACTCCTAGTATTGACCCGAAAGTACTAAAAACAGGTGTTCAAACAAATCCTTGTACACGCATGTTAATAGCATCACTAGCCACAATAGCCAAAAGGTAGATACAACCCAAGTGTCCATGAGCTGTTGAATAGATGAACAAAATGTGGTCCATCCACACAGTGAAATATTGCTCAGCCCTGATTCATGCTACAGCATAGATGAACCTTGAAAACATTACACTGAGTGAAAGAAACCAGACACAAAAGGCCATATAGCATACAATTCTATTTAGTTGAAATATCTAGAATAAGCAAATTCATAGGGACAGCAGATTAGCAATTGCCAGGAGCTGGTGGAGGATGAATGGGGAGTGACTGCTCATAGAGACGGGATCTCTTTTGGGGGTGATGATCTGGAACTAGACAGAGGTGGTGGTTGCATTTAGAACATTGTGAATGTTCTAAATACCACGGAATTGTTCACTTTAAATGGTTAATTTCACATTATGTGATTTGCATCTCAGTACATGTCAAAAAACACTCCACTTAGGTCAGTCAGCACACCAGCTTGATCGCATTCATTCCCAGGGTGGCTGTGCAGAGCTCCTGGACCCAAGGGTTCTGGGGACCTCGCTGATCCCTCCTGTGCCTGCGCCCACCAGGTTTTCCTGAAAGAGACGGAGCGACAGGCACTGCAGGAGACGCTGCACCGGGAGGTTGTGCGGAAGATCCTGCTCCTGCAGAGCTGGTTTCGGATGGTGCTGGAACGTCGGCACTTCTTGCAGATGAGGCGGGCAGCAGCCACCATCCAGGTACTGTGTGGGCTGATGGGCTGGGGTATAGGGGTGGCTCACGCATGGCCTCTGAACGCCTTTTCTGCTCTGCTGTCAGGCCTGCTGGAGATCCTACCGTGTCAGGCGGGCTCTGGAGAGGACACAGGCGGCCGTGTACCTCCAAGCCACATGGAGGGGCTACAGGCAGCGGGCAGCCTACCAACGCCAGAGACAAATCATCATCCACCTGCAGAGCCTCTGCCGGGGACACCTGCAGCGCAGGAGGTGAACAGAACAGGGTCCTACTCCCTAGAATGTTCCAGAAGCCAGAAAGTTCACTCACCTAAAAGCTGCCTGAGATATGGGCAGAACTGTCAGAATGTCATTCTGGACACAAAGAGGCTGGGAAAGGGATGGCAGGAATCCAGCTACCTGGGTACATAGGTCCCAGAGAGACGCCCCAGGGCTGGTGGGCGGTGCTTATGGCAAAGCCTCAGGTCGCCGTCAGCCACACTCAGTCCCCACCAGGGACCCCTGCACCCGCCTACTCCAGGCCAGTCAGTAGAATACCTGGATTTAAAAGGAGTGGGTTCAGGCCGCTCCGGGCCAGCCCACAGGGGGCTCCCCTTCCACCACACTCACATGGAGCTTAGGCATCTGCCAGGTCAGGGATCCCAAAGGAATTGAGGAGTCGCTTAACAGATTTCTCCCACAACAGAACTAATAAATGTACCCCTGAACTAGCCAAGCGGACCCAGGGCAGAGGTGGCCGAGGATGGGCCACCCCTCTGTATTCCCCTTTCCTGGCTGAGGAGGTCCCACCTTGCCAGAAGCATCTCAGTGCCAGAGATGACACCTGTACCCCCCCACCCCAGCCCACAAACAGCATGGGGATCCCACCAGAGCATGGCTCAGAGGCCTCCAACACCCTGGGTGGATTCTGGGATCTGTAGGACATTTGTTTCTGAACCCAGCTCCTCTACTCTCCTTATATCAGCTTCCGCCAGATGGTTGCAGAGAAGCAGAAGGCAGAAGAGAGGGCGAGGGAAGCCCAGCAAGCCACGAGCGAAGAAACTGCCTCGGGTGGGCTGGGTCCAGAACCGTCAGAGGACAGCAAGCATTCAGCCCTGGAGCCCAAGATGTGGCTGAGCCATGAGCCCCCAGCAGAGAGCTCCCACCCCAAGGAGGAGAGCCCCACCCCTGAGAAGTTTCTCCCACCCCAGAAAAACGCCACCGAAAGTCATGAGAAAGTGTCCAGCAGCCGGGAGAAGCGCGAGTCTCGGAGGCAGAGGGGGCTGGAGCACGTGGAACTCCAGAACAGACACATGCAGTCATGTAAGGATGAGAACGCCCTCAGAGAACCTTCTGGAATAATCGCCCTGGATCAGGAGGAGGGCCTCCCCGAAGACAGAAAGGAGAGCAGAGAAGATGAAGCCCCCTCAGACACAGGGACAGAAACAGAGAACTCTGCTCCTGAAAAGCAGCCCAAGGGGCCTCCACAAGCCACACCAGCCTGCCAGGTCCCCGCAGAAACCCCTCAGGCACCCCAGGGCCGAGTGGAACGGCCCACCAGCCTGGCCTTGGACAGCAAGGTTGGCACACTGGCCCCCAGCCTTACCCCCGAGAGCCCCCAGGACAAGAGCAAGCCAAGTGGTGGCCCAAGGGCACAGGACAGGCCTGAGAGCCCCGGAGGCTCCACCCAAATCCAGCGGTACCGAGACCCAGCCTCCGAGAGGCTGGCCAGTGCTGTAGAGCTATGGCGGGGTAAGAACCGGACAGCTGCCAGCCCCAGCGCCATGCTGAGCCAGTCCCTGGACCTTAGCGAGCGGCACCGGGCCGTGGGGCCCACTCTCACACCCACAGAGTAAGCCCTACACCCTCCTTTGTCTGAGCACAGTGGGTGGGCAGGGCAGGGGACATATAGTCAAAGGCCTGGCCTCAGGACCACCCTCACATGACATCTTCTAGGGCTGGCTTATTCTCTGCATGGGGCCATCCCATGAACTGTGGGGTGCAGGTATCCCCAAAACACATGAGCAGCTCTGTGCCCAAGAGCTGACACCAGGTGTGTGGGGCCCTGAGGAGGGAGAGAGGGATCTGGCAAGGATGAGCCACCTGCCTGGTGTCGCCCTGCTGGGGTCTGGCTGGAATGCTGAACCCTAGGGGCTCCCACTAAAACAAGCTGTGTTCACTCAAAAAGCCCCTGGCCTGGTGGAAGGAGGCCGGTTAAAAGCCCCACTCTCCACCCTGCCTGGATCTCGGTTTCCTCATCAGTGAATGAGGGTGACTGAGAACTGGCCTGTTGTCCCAGAGGCCCACTTGGCCAAAGGACAGAGTGGAGGAAGACTCTGGCTTCTGCGAGGGCAGGCACCCGAGGTCGGCTCACTCTCTGGGTAGATCCGTTCTGTGCATGCGGTGTACAGAGTAGCAGCCCCAGTCTCCACTCACCAGATGCCAGTAGAATTACCCTCTGGATATGACAACCAAAACATCTCTGAATTCTTTCTTGTCGATCAAAGCCACATTTCTGTGATCTCACAGGGAGAGGCGCATTTCATTATCCACCAGCGACGTCTCCAGGCTCCTCCCGGCCCCTGCTCAGGCCAAGTCTCAGGTAAAGCTCCAAGCTGCAGCTCTCTCCCTTCAGGGTCCAACTTGCTTCTGCCCAAAGGGCAGCTTTAGAGAGAAGGGGAGTCAGTGGATAGAGTGCACAGTGACACAGGGACCCTTTGCTTTCTTCCCATGAAGCCACCTGCATTTGCTTACCCAGCCTCATTCTCTCGCAGCCTCTTTCAGACAGCATAGATGGCGAGCCCAGCATGAAGAAGCCAGTCATCCAGAAGAAGAAGTCAAGCGATGTGTCCACCGGCACAGACGCAGGGCTATCCCCAGGTTCCCAGGCCGACTCTAAGTGAGTGTGGAGTTCGGGTGGGCTTGAGCCACCACAGGATACTCAGGGCCCCTGCCAGGGCCTTCAGTCTCCGAGCGGTCTCGTCTCCTAAACCGACGGCATTTACAAAGCTGAGTTGGACAGACATTTGCTCAGTAGCAGTTCCATGACAAGAGGCCCACATGGAGCCTGGGTCCTGGCCACATGAGGGTAAAATGATTCCACTGAACCTTAGAGCCAATCTGGGTCACCTCTTCTGGGTCCAGACAGACAAGTTCCATTTGGCTTTTTATGGACTCAGAACCAGATCTCCCGTCCCTACCTCCAGCAACTCTTTCTGGGTCCTCAGAAAATCTAGGCTCTATTCCCAGAAGCTCCCCCAAGTGCTACAGATGGGTCCTTTCCAGAGCAGAGAAATTGGCCATGGGACAAGGGAGCTGTGATCCAGAAAGGCTGAGGAAGGTGAAGAATGGGCTGTGGTGGGAGACAGAGAGCCCCCCACTGCGGGGCAACCCCACCCCCAAAGCAAAGAACCACAAACAGGGTTGCTTCAAACAACAGAAGTGTATTCTCTCATAATCCTGGAGGCCAGAAGTCTGAAATACAGGTGTCACAGGACCACACTTCCTTCAGAGACTCGAGGGGAGCATCCTTCCTGCCTCTTCCAGGTTCTGGAGGCTCCAGGAGTCCTTGGCTTATAGACGCATCATTCAGTCTCTGCCTTCATCGTCACATGAACTTCTTCTCTCCTGTATCTTCTCTTTTTCTGTTTTTTGTAAGGATACTTGTCACTGAATTTAGGGCCCATCTGGGTAATTCAGGATGATCTCCTTGAGATCTTTCACTTAGTGTCATAGTCCATTCGGCCACTATAAGATAATACCACAGAATGAGCAGCTTAAACAATGGGCAACAGGCGTTTAGTTCTTGCTGTTCTGGAGGCTGGAAGTCTGAGATCAAGAGTGCCAAGTAGATGTGGTGTCCAATGAGAATTCACTTCCTGGTTCTTATACAGCATCTGCTCTTTCGTCCTCACATAGCAGAAGAGGCTAGGGTGCACTCTCTGGGGTCTCTCATAAAGGGCACTAATCCCGATCATGAGGGCTCCACCCTCATGATCTAATCACCTCGCAGAGGCCCCACTACCTAATATCATACATTGGGAGTTAGAGGCTAGGGTCTCTCATAAAGGGCACTAATCCCGTTCATGAGGGTTCCACCCTCATGATCTACTCACCTCCCAAAGGCCCCACTACCTAATATCATACATTGGGAGTTAGGCTGCAGCATATAAATTTGGGGAGATATACACAGTCTATAGTTTTTGGTCATATCTGTAAAGACCCTTTTCCCAAATAAGATCATGCTCATGAGGTTTAGCACATAGCTTCTTGGGGGCCACCATTCACCCCACCACATACACCCAGTAGCCACAGTGCATGATTCAGTATTTATTCTTTGTGATTTTTTTTCCTAATCTTGTGCCATAAAAACACATGAAGGAGTGGTTTTATTTACTTTTTATATGAAAATGATGTTAACTCAGCATCTTGCTTTTTCACCTGACTCCTCATCAGTTCACTCAAATTGACCTTATTTTTAGTAGCATCCAGTTCCACTGATAAGAAAGAAAAGTGTTATTTCTCTCCTTATGGTAAGATGACCCTTTCTATGGCCTCACATCTGTTTTTCATTTCATGAGGCTTAAACTAAACCCCTTATTTTCTCCTTCAGGCCCACATTTATAAGACTTTTCCTGCATAAGAACAAGGATAAAAAGGGTAGTCTAGAGGGTGTGGAGGAGACGGAGAATGCGATCCCTGGGCACGCCATGCTGGAAGCCACCACCATGAAGAAGAATCTAGAAGGTTGGTCACCCGCAGCCTCAGGGACGGACAGCAGAGCTACTGGGGTCCCTGAGGATGTGCCCCATCCCCAGGTGGGGCCTTGGGTACATGGCTTCAGACCCAGTCCCCACCCCTGGGGGCACTTTGTGGCCGTGGACCCCCGTGCACAGCCATACAGGGTCCTGGTTCTCTGTGTTTGTGACCACGCCTCAAGAGGCTGACCAGCATCCTGCCCTCGACAGCCACTCCTTCTCCCCTACAGCCCCCTCCAGCCAGCAGCACCGCCACACTGCGGGCGAGAAGCACACCAAGGAGCTGGGAGGCAAAGGGAAGAAAAACCGAAACCTCAAAATTGGCAGAATCACAGTGTCAGAGAAATGGCGGGAGTCAGTGTTCCGCAAGATCACCAACGCCAATGAGCTCAAGTACCTGGATGAGTTCCTACTCAACAAGGTGGGCCTGCGGCGGGATGGGGGCATACACTACGGGGGCGAAGGTTGCGAGTCTTCAGACCTGGGCCTCCCCAGGAGGGCCATCACCACCCAGCAGTCTTCTGAATCGCCACATCACAGCTCTTAGCAGACCGGGAACAGAAAGTCCAGGTGTACAGTTCCAACACACAGAAAATTCTAGAAACCTGACACTTGTTCCTAAGTTTGACATCAACTCGTTTTCTGTAAAACCCAGCCTGGGCTCACATGAGACCATTTGTAACCCACATTCCTCTCAGTCGGCACAGATAGAGTTGTCACTCAGTATCTGAAGGGGATTGATTCCAGGACCCCTGCGGATGCTCAGAATCTGAGAACGCTCAAGTTCCTCATGTCTGCACACAGGCTGCAGCAGGGTATGCTGACACATTGCTCATGCGGACTCAACATTAGTGTTTGATGTGCAGCAATTTCAAGTTTTGCTTTTTGGAACTTTCTGGAGGTTTTTTTTCCCCGATACTTTCGATCTGTGATTAGAAGACACTTCTGTTATCTCGCAATGACCCTTGGAGATGGTTGCCCCACTTTCTCACACACTAGAGGAAACAGAAACACCAAGATCCAGAATAACCTTCCAGGCAGGGCGCTGGACACACCTGCATCCCACCAGGCTGCCTCTAGGTCAGCAGCATCGCCGTGGCTCAGCCGTGGCCGTGTACTTACTTTATTTAGAATAAGCTATTAAAATGCATCGGATCTTGTGGCCAATACTGATTGAGCACTTACTGTGTACAGCAGAGGTGAATAAGCCACAGCCTGTGTTTATGGTGTTCACGGCCCCGGCTACAGTCAGTTCCACAGCAGGATTTGGGAGCTTCCCAGAGGGGCAGCAAGGGATCCTGCAAGGGTGGACGTGTTGTGAAATGACCAAGCCATTCACGCTTGTCCTGTGGCATGGCCAGGGGTCGAATGCAGATGATTGGCAACATCTGCAGATGTTTTTGGTCATCACGAGTGAGGGTGCTACTGGCATCTGGTGGATGGAGGCCAGAGATACCACTTCAAACCCTACAGTGAGTGATCCAGCCCTAAGTGTCAATAGTTTGAACCTAGACTGAAGGGACAGGGGAGACCAGGATTGGCCAGAGGGCCCAGATTTTATCCTACAAGCCCAGGGGAGCCAGAGAAGGACTTGGGACAGGGCAAAGTGGTGTCCACTCAGATGTCCTGCCTCAGGCAACACAGGGTCAGTGGTTTTCTCCTTCCCTCTCGCCAGATAAACGACCTTCGTTCCCAAAAGACACCCATCGAGAGCTTGTTCATTGAGGCCACCGAGAAGTTCAGGAGCAACCTCAAGACCATGTACTCTGTCCCAGTACGTGTAAACATCAGCCCCAGGGGTGCCCCAGCAATCCCCAAGCTCCCCCCAGGGTACCCCCCTATTTGTGCAATGTGATCACACCTTCTGTCCCCACAGAATGGGAAGATCCATGTTGGCTACAAGGACCTGATGGAGAACTACCAGATTGTTGTGAGCAACCTGGCGGCCGAGCGCGGCGAGAAGGACCCCAACCTGGTCCTCAATCTCTTCCAGTCACTGCTGGACGAGTTCACCCGTGGGCACACCAAGAATGACTTTGAGTTGCCCAAGGTGAGTGATGCCACTCTGGGTAGGGGCAAGGGACCAGCATGGCATGGAGGGGTGGCTGGGGGCGGGGGTACCCCAGGGACCCACACAGACCTGCCTTCGTGTTCCCTCACAGCAGAGCAAAGCTCAGAAAAAGAAGCGGAAGCAGGAACGCGCTGTGAGTATGAGTGTGCACATGCAAGCATGTATGCGTGTGAGTGTGTGCAGGCGAGTGTGTTTTCCTGCCCAGCCCTAAGGAACCCATTATGAGTGAGCAGCCCCAGGCCCTGAGCTGCCGCAGGCAACATCCACACTGGGCAGCCCCGTGGGGGTCCTCCCTCACCGCTCAGTGCCCTCCTACACGGCCCCCAGGTCCAGCAGCACAACGGGCACGTGTTTGCCAGCTACCAGGTGAGCATCCCACAGTCGTGTGAGCAGTGCCTCTCTTACATCTGGCTCATGGACAAGGCCCTGCTCTGCAGTGGTGAGTACCCCAGCACCCCACTGCATGCCCCCTGTATCCCAACTCCCAAACCCCACTCATGCCCCCAACCCTCCACCAAACCCCTCATCACCCACTATAACCCCTGACACTTCACAAAATCTCCAGATTAGCCACTGTACCCCCAACCCCTCTCAGTACCTCCTAACCCTGCCACCGTATCCCCAACCCCTTGCTGTGCACCAGGGCCTTCACCCCAGCCACAGGGTGGATCTTTCCTGAACACTGCCCCAGCTACATCTCACCCACTCAAACCCCTACCTGGGCAGGTCACCCTGTGTCCTACCGCCAGGCCTTTGTACATTCTGCTTCCGCTACCTGAGCCACTGGCCCCTCCCCCATGTGCCAGGGGAGTCTAGTCAGTCCCCACCAGGGAACCCTGAGAGACAGATATAGCCCAGGATAGCCCAGCTGGCCCTCAGTCAGACAGCCAGAAGGTAGCCAAGCCAAGACTAGAGACCAGTTGGCCCTCAGAGGCCTGGTCAGGTCTAGCAGGCCCCTAGCACTTGTTTTCTTGCCAGGACCAGCCAGGCCTGGCCTTTTTTTCAGCCCAGGGTCTCCTCCTCTCCCCTTTGGTCCTGTGTGAGGAGCAGCTCTCCATCCCACTTCTGTCATAAATACCCCGGCAGTTGTCACTGTGCTGAGATAAGGACACACCAGACACTACCTCCTTTTTATCATAGCTGGTTTCTTCTCTCCATATGTGACGTCCCTTAGTCTGGGGCTTGGTGTGGTTGGGAGAAGCAAAAGCAACATCATTTATACTGCCATCATAGGCTGAATCCCTAGGGCTGCTTCCTGGCAGGACTAAGGTATAAGCTCCCTAAACCCCTGCATTTATCTCACTGGCCAGGCTGGCTCTGAGGCCACTAACAGTCTCCATCTATGAACACCTGCCTACATGGCTCCCTCACCTGGGGATCAGGGCAGAGATTTGTGTGATGAGAGTTTAGAATCCGGTCAATGGGCCCCCAGCTATTGGGACAGGCAGTCATGGGAGCCTGGGGCCCCTGATGCTCCGCCTGTGACCACCCTCCCCCAACCATGTCCTCCTAGTGTGCAAGATGACCTGCCACAAGAAGTGCGTGCACAAGATTCAGACCTACTGCTCCTACACATGCAGAAGTAAGGTGAGCCCACCGAGGCCAGGAACTTTCCAGAACAACACTAAGTTCAGGACCAGGTACCTGGAGAAGGCAGTCCTGAGAGGTGTACAGGAGAGAGTGTGCTAGGTGCAAGGCCAAGGGAGGGCATCAGGCAGGAGCAGGGAGCTGGCAAGAGGGGCTAGTCCCAAAGCCAAGCACACCTGGTTCTGCTCAAGGCCCCCCGAGGCAGGGACTGGGCTTGTGTGTGCTTATCAGACCCTGGCTCCGCTCCTCCCTCCTCCAGGTGGAGAGAGTCCCCGCACTGTGCCCAGAAGGGAAGTAGGGTCCCAAGTGCTGGGGCGGCAGCAGGAGCCAGGCCCGATTATTCTGAGGGGCAGTGGGTGCTCCTCATAGCGAGCCCCTGCCCAGTGGCTATTGAGCTGACCTCTGCAGCCCAGCACACCCAACAACCTGCAAGGGGGGATGAAGGACAGAGGGACAGAGCCCACAGAGGAGGCCCACGGGGCAACCAGAAAGGACAGCCAACCCAGGCCTTACCCCGACCCCTGACATTGCAGAGCGAGCCAGGTGCTGAACCAGGCCACTTTGGTGTGTGCGTGGACAGCCTGACCAGTGACAAGGCCTCAGTGCCTATCGTGCTAGAGAAACTTCTGGAACATGTGGAGATGCATGGCCTGTACACTGAGGGGCTGTATCGCAAGTCGGGCGCCGCCAACCGCACGAGGGAGCTCCGGCAGGCACTGCAGACAGGTGGGTGCTAGGGCAGGTGGGGCCTGCAAACAAGTAGGGATCGAGGGCAGGTGGGCACCGTGAGGGACTCCGGGCGCAGCCCTCCTGCCTGCGCTCACCAGCCCCTCACACTTTCCCCACAGACCCAGCGGCTGTCAAGCTGGAGAACTTCCCCATCCATGCCATCACCGGGGTGCTCAAGCAGTGGCTGCGGGAGCTTCCCGAGCCCCTCATGACCTTCGCCCAGTATGGCGACTTTCTCCGTGCCGTCGGTGAGTCCTGTGATAGCGGCAAGGGCATGCAGGTGGTCATGGTCAGGGTCAGAGCCACAAGCACACTGGCTAACCAAGGAGGCGGGACCACCTAGTCAGAGCTGAGAAACCAAGGCCTAGGGTGGGGCTGGGACCCCTCTGTGGCCCTGCATTCTTGCCACATGCCCAGCCCAGGCCCCACATGGCGGGAGGCTCCCCTGTCCCTAGGGTGAATCTCTGTGGGGCCCATGGGGAGCTGATACCTGGGCCTTTCTAGAGCTGCCAGAGAAGCAGGAACAGCTGGCTGCCATATACGCCGTCCTGGAGCACCTGCCAGAAGCCAATCACAACTCCTTGGAGCGGCTCATCTTCCACTTAGTCAAGCAAGTGCCTGCTGCCACTCTCTTTGGGGGGGTCCCTGCCAGGATCCTGGCCACCCGCTCCCAGGCGGGTATTCTCTGCTAGTTCTGCACCAGGACATGGGTCCTTGTTGGGCTATCTGGGAAAGATCACTCCCTAACTGCCAGTCACCATACAGGGTGGCCCTGCTTGAGGACGTGAACCGCATGTCACCCAGTGCTCTGGCCATCATCTTTGCACCCTGCCTCCTGCGCTGCCCTGACAACTCAGACCCGCTGACGAGCATGAAGGACGTCCTCAAGATCACCACGTGAGTGCCAGGCCTGCCCCACCCCCACGCGTGCTCAGGGCAGCCCTGCCAGGGACTCCTTGAGCTCTTTTGAGGCTGAAGAACCAGAAAAGAAGGAAAGTCCTCACGCCTCATCACAGGGCAAGGGGTAGATGCGATGCCAACACGTCAGCAGTGAGAGTTGGCAGCAAACAAAAGCGCTAGTTTCAGGGCTTCTTCTTTCTTTCTGCAAAAGTTCTCCAAAAGTTCCTCAGAACTTAGAAAGTCATCAGACATTAGTCACTAAGACGACGTTGTTGAGGTGACTTGTGAAAACAAGAAACTGTCACTGTAAGTGGTTTCACGAGGCAAACACACCAAGAAGGCCTGACATTATAGTCCCCAGGCCATGCTCATCATGATTAAGGAACAGTAACAGGCGGCGAGGAGAGGAGCCTGGTGTGACCTGACTGGTTTGCTTCTGGCCTCTTCCAGCAGTCTTTTCTCCTTTTTTTTTTTTTAATGTGCTTGTAGTGATGGAAAATTTGAGTTGTGATTGCTTCTCATTTCAGGCTGTCTTTCCATACTAACCACTCCAGACTGAGTCCCTCCGATACCACTTTGAGCTGAGTCCTCCCAGTACTGCCCACTCCAGGCTGAGTCCCCCACCCAGTACTGACTGCTCCAGGCCAAGTTCCCCACCCAGTGCTGACCACTCAGGCTGGCCCTGACCACTAAGCAGATAACCTGCTAGTCAGAGTGCATGCACATCCTGGAGCTCTTGGGGCTGCAGCCCTTGGGATAAGTCACCCACCTTCCCTAGGCTTCATACTTCCTGTGAGATGGGATAATCCTCACCCTGCAGGGTGACTGAGGGGTCAGTTCACTCCAGCTGGCTGTAGGTACTTTTTCCTACAAACGAGGCTCCTTAAGATAGGGACACAGGCTCAGAGAGGTAGAGTGAGTCATCCAAGGTCACACAGCGAACGAGCTGGGGCCAAGATGGGAGCCACGGCTGTGTTTGGTCTCTCTGGGTGGGTCTCTACCTTGGCCACTGTTCCCCAGTCTCCAGCCAGCACCTCCCTGGACATTAGGCCCTCAGGCCGACCATTCCTGAGGGCATTAACTGGCCTTCTCTGTGGGCCTTCTCCACAGCTGTGTGGAGATGCTGATCAAGGAACAGATGAGGAAGTACAAAGTGAAGATGGAGGAGATCAGCCAGCTGGAGGCCGCAGAGAGCATTGCCTTCCGCAGACTCTCTCTCCTGCGACAAAACACTGTAAGTACATGTTTTGGGTGAGGGCCTTGGCAGGGGCATGGTCAGAGGAGGGTGGATGGGCGTGGCTTTGTGGGAGGGGCTCAGGCCACAGGGTGGGGTCTCACATCCCCTACTGTGCACTCCCCTGGCCATAGGCAGCCTGGCCAAGGACCAGTTCCTTACCTTAGCCAAGTGACCACCACCCTCTCTGTCTCACACCGACTGTCCCTCTCAGGGACCTGTCATCCACTTGGTGGTAGTTCTGGTCATCTTCCAGCCCTGGCCCTTGCTGACTTCAGCCCTGCCCTTAGGAGACTGACTCCCACAAAAGTGACCTCAGAGTGTGGGGGATAAGGGGGTGGGTCCTGGGCTCCCATTGGAGGACCCTGTCCTAGTCCCCATGATCAGATGTGGCTTGGTACCCATGATACAACCTGTGTGTTGGTCATGGCCGCATGTGGTTACCCTCTGTTCATCTCTCCCCCCAGCCATGGCCTCTCAAACTGGGGTTTTCATCTCCCTATGAGGGGGTCCTGGTATGTACATGGTCGGTGGGCCCACCCTGCATGTCTTTGGTGCAGTGCATGCTGGGGTTCCCCTCGGCCCCTGGGGTCCTTGTAGGATAGGCCCAGCATGTCCTAAACTTCTGGAAATGCATGCTAGGGGAGGCTTGTTGGCCTGACGACCACCTGTGCTGAGGACAACTAACCAGCTGTGCACCAGCCACTCGGCCCCCACGTGGTCCCTGGATCAGCCTCACTAAGCCCGCTGCCCACGGCAGAACTAACCTCCCCCAGAGCTGTGCACACCACCTTCTCCCTACCCACAAGCACTGACCCCACCTGCCTGGAGGGGCTGGCCAGACCTGCCACTGCTCTGTTGCAGAATAAGAGCCCCACAGCCCGGGGAAGCAGCAGCGGCCCAGAGGAGCTGGGGGTGCTGCCAGAGGAGGAGGCAGCCGGCAACGATGAAGACCGAGAGAAGGAGATCCTCATTGAGCGGATCCAGTCCATCAAGGAGGAGAAGCAAGTGTTCCTCCAGCCTCTTCCCACTCTCATCCATACCATCCATCCCCCATCCACTGGCCCTTCCACTATGCATAGGGGACCTGGCCATTAGGAGGCTGACGGGCCAGGCTCAAGCCAGTACCCACCTCATGGAGTGCTCCTGTCCTAAAACAGCCCAGGGCTCTGTTTAAACCCCATGCGTGACCACAGGGAACCGTAGTGGCCCACAGAGAAAGAAAGGGTAATGGGCGATGTCCGAATTTTGTCTTGAAGATGGCCTTAGCTAGGGTGACCATTAATTTGTTGTCCAGTTGAGATGTGTGAAAGAGGGTGCCATTAAAATATTACGCCAGGAGAACAGGTGTGACCCAAGGCACCTGGCCACCTAATTTCACAGAGTAGGGCACTCCAGGCAGAGGGAACAATGCATGCCAAGGTCCCAAGGCAGGAGCTCCTCACTTGCTCAGTGTTAGGGCCAATTCCCGGCTTCCCTCAGGAGCCTGACTCCATCTTCCCACGAGCTTCGCAGGGTCACAGGCATTTTGGGCCAGGTGTGCTTTGAGAGTAGAAAGTTCTGGGGGCAGAGCGTCCTATCCAGGACCAAGATGGCCTGCTCTGTCCCCTACCATCCTGGCACTTTCCTTGGGGTGGTCTTTCATCATGGGTCAACAGCCTTGGACATGTGATCCTGTCGTCCCCAGGGAGGACATCACCTACCGGCTGCCGGAGCTGGACCCTCGGGGCTCCGATGAGGAGAACCAGGACTCGGAGACATCAGCCAGCACTGAGAGCCTATTAGAAGAGCGGGCTGGGCGGGGGACCTCGGAAGGTCAGTATTAAGGTAGCGTCTGCTTTTTTCCTTCCCGTGTCTCCCCCTGGCAGGCCCTGGGGTGAGGGTCCATCTGCTGGCCCTGAAGCTGCAGTAACCCTGCCATCTGTCTCCCAAAAGGGCCCCCCACGCCTGCTCTCCCCAGCCCGAGCGTGCCCGCCCCAAGCCCCCTCCCTGAGGTGGCTGCTTCTCCAAGACGAAGGCCGTCATCCTTTGTGACGGTCAGAGTGAAGACCCCCCGGCGGACCCCCATCATGCCCACGACCAACATCAAGCTCCCACCTGGCCTGCCCTCCTACCTCCCCGGCCGGGCACCAGGTGCCCAGGAGGCTGCCATCCCAGTGAGGCGCCGGGAACCACCTGCCCGCCGCCCAGACCAGGTACACTCTGTGTATATCACACCGGGTGCACACCTGCCTGCTCAGGGCACTCAGGAGCCCCTGGACGAGGACAACCGGCCGCCTGGGGCCAAGCGGAGGTATTCGGACCCCCCAACCTACTGCCTGCCCCCCACCTCAAACCAGGCTAATGGCTGAGGGCCCACAGTGCCAGAGTCAGCACATCTGAGGACAACTCCATGCTGGAGCTCCATAGCCAGCATTTGGCTCTCTGAGAAGGATCCGGAATGAAAAGCTCCAAGAGCAATATGAAGTGGGCACCGGTTCCAAGTGCAGAGTCCAGGCAGGGAGAGGCCAGCAGGGCTGAGCCCCGACGTCGCACAGATGTGCTGCCCAGAGCCTGAATCTTGGCAAGCAGCTTGGCTTCTCCCACCACCCCCCTTTTGTACGGTTTTACAGTAACTTACTTTGTGCCTGGTTTACATAACTTTATACTGTAACAGCCTTAACGGAAGACCAAATTGTTTTTTTATATGTGTATGTACAAACAATTTTATATTAATGCCCTGCCTCACCCTTATAACATGGACACAAGACTTAAGAGCTAAGCCCATACAGCCACCCCATCTCAGAGGTCCAGGCCCATACTGAGGACAGCTTGGGGGGCGTCCATGGACCAGGACCCTGCACCAGGGATTTGGACACTTGGGGTCATCTGACTGCCCCCAGTCTGTCTGGGACTTGTCCTATGACCCGGCCTGTGACCAGCTGGCCCACGTGCATTCAAAGGAGCAGTAGAGCCTTCCATGGGGATCCAAGATGTTGGCTGAAGGCAGGACATGAGGTAGGAGGGGTGGCCTCCACCTGGGGCACCAGAGACCTCATGTCCAGGGAGATTTAAATGTGACCATCACTCCTCTGTCCACCGTTTCCTGAATGACGGAGGCTGGGGGAGGCTGCCCTTGGCACTACCTGCTGTGTGGCAGAATAGGAGCCTTTGACTCAGGACCGCTCACAGACTGGGAGAGCAAGGCCTGGGTTTGCATGTCCCTACAGGCCCATAGTGACAGCCTGAGCATCTCCAGAGTGGGGCTCCCCTCTCTCAGGCTCCACTCATTCCCTGGACACCTGGACAGATGGTCCTGGGTGTGGAAAGAGGCACCCCATACACCATGTGAAATAAAAAGTGTCAGTTCGTTTGCCTATGATTCCTGCTCAGACCTCCTTGGGGTTGGAGGAGCATGGGCAGCAGGTGGGAAGACCTGCCTTGATCCTCCAGCAAATGTTACTGTTGGAATTTCACATACTCCTCAGTGAGGAAGGTGGGCCTGCTGGAAGTTCGTGCATATTGATCAAGAAACCAGGAGAAGCAGGGAGTTCCTGGAGTTGCATTCAGTGAAAAGAACCTGCTGTCCTTGGAGCTGCCTCCTGTTGTCTTGTTTCAGCACTCACCCTTCCCAGCCGAAGCCATTTGCCTTGAGGAGTGTGGCAGTTCTTGATGGGTCCCACAGACAGGCTCCCAAGCAGCAAAATATAGGCAGCTGTGGGAACTGGCTGGAAGGTGGGTCCCATAAGGGTGGGCAGCCAGTGGGAACTGGCTAGCAGGTGGGGGACAGTGAAGAACCAGACTCCAGACTACACATGCAAGAGAGTTGGGGGGCTTGTCCAAGGTCACACCGCTGGGATGAAGCGTGGCTGGGTTTCAGAACCTGCCAGGTCTGCCTTTACCCATCCTGGGTCTGTTTCCATCCACTGTATCCTGAGCAGACACAAGGCCCACTTGTGTGACTGAGACACAGGTGACCTGAGGGCTGGGAAGATAAAATGGTTGCATGGCAGGGTTGTCCCTGTGAAACCTCCATCTTCACCCTACTTCAGGAAGGGGCTCCCAAGATGGGCCTCGGCTCCATGGGGGCCTTGGTGCGCTGGGACTGGGTTCTTTCCACGGGATCTGAGCCTTAGGGGTGACCCGGTCCCACTTCTCACTCCCAGAGCTAACCTGTGTCCCCCTTGAAGCAGACACTGCCCCACTGCCCATTTCCCAAGGGAGGAAATGCTTAGAAACGGCAGGGGATGGAGTCAAAGTCTGGGGTAGGACCCAGAAGTTTGGATGGGCCCCTAAGCACCAGGGCCTCTACCCCCGGAAGAAATCGGGGAAGGTTGCCTGGATGCCAGAGAGCTCAGTGTGAAAAGAACCTAGACAGAAATGAGCGTAGTGGAGGAATTTTGAGCAGGGGGAAAGGAACGAGCAGAGGACGCGTTGCACCTGGGCCTGATACCGAAGGATCTGGTCCTCTCAACCCTTCCTGAAGAGTTCAGATGCTCGCGAGGAAAGCAGGAGACTCGGCCCTAAGTATGGATGGGATGGTATCTTTCTTGAAACAAGACATTACCTCCGCCCCAAACAAAGACGAGACATTGAAGGAGCAGGGCACGCCCACCCGGAAAAGGTTAAATGAAGGCACTTCCGCCCTCCCTTAAGATGGCGCCGGCGGAAGGGGCGGGGTACTGCAGCGTGGTGATGGCCGCGTCAAGGCTAGAGCTGAACCTGGTACGGCTGCTGTGCCGCTGTGAGGTGATGGCCGCAGAGAAGCGGGACCCGGACGAGTGGCGTCTGGAGAAGGTGAGGGGATGCCGCGCTGCAGCATAGAGCCTGACTCCCATATGATAGTCCCCAAGAGTAGTGGCCACAGGGCTTGATTCTTCCGCCGCACCAGCCACTCTGGCTGTGCCCCTTTCCTGTCGGCTCCGCCACGTCCATCCGCTACTTCCTGGTACCTGGGCCTCACCTGGCCCCTCCCGTATCCCAGCCCCGCCCCACCCTAATCCCGCCCCTCGTTGGCTCGGCCCTCTTTGAGCTGGATGGAAAGGAATGCAGGTACCCGGCTGACACCTACCTTCCCTCCCCAGTACGTGGGAGCTCTCGAGGACATGCTGCAGGCTTTGAAAGCTCAGGCGAGGTAAGTGCAGGCGACCAGAGGGGCTTCACATCTGGGATGGAAGTGGAGGCCAGGGGGCCAGCATCTGTTGGGAAACCCCTGGTCTCTTGTCTCTGCTTAAACTCTTCCCTGAACTGGGGACAGCAAGCAGGTTTTCTTTTTCCTCTTCTCGCCATCCAGCAAACCAGCCTCCGAAGTGATCAATGAATATTCCCGCAAGGTAGACTTTCTGAAGGGGATGCTGCAGGCTGAGAAGCTGGTGAGCAGGGGCACCTCTGCTTCCTCAGCCTTCATCACACTCTCCTGGGTCCCCAGGACCCACTCCCCTGGTGATCCCTTCCTCCCTCTTCTGCAGACCTCCTCCTCAGAGAAGGCACTAGCTAACCAGTTCCTGGCTCCTGGCCGCGTGCCAACCACAGCCAGAGAGCGGGTGCCCGCCACCAAGACGGTACATCTGCAGTCACGGGCACGGTACACCAGCGAGATGCGGAGTGAACTGCTAGGCACGGTAGAGCTCCCTCCCTGAACTTTGGGAACCCTCCAGTCAGGGACGAGAGTTCAGTGCCTGGGATTGGTCAGAACAACTAATACTGGCAGGTGCCAGGACCCTAGGGAGCCTAACATTCTCTACCCTAGTCCATAAAATAAGGCTTCCCAACAGAGGGGCACTTTAGGCAGGGCTTGCTAGAGGAATAGGAGTTTGTTTGGTATAAGGCAAAAGTGGTATGTGTCTGGCTAAGCCACAGAGTTGGCCTAGTGCAAGTTTTGGCTCCTGGCTTGCTATTTGCCACATATAGGCAAGATGTTTTTATCTGTAAAACAGGTTGACAGATGCCTTTCTGAGCACTCTACATGAATCAGCTAAACCCGTCAAAATATGAGTTGTTGTCATTACCAGTTTATAGATGAGGAAATTGAGAATCAGAAGTCACAGGACTTGCCCAGGTTCCTGACTAAGGGTGCAGAGGTTCTGAGAGCAGAAAGGATAGGTTTGGGGGCACGACAGGATGGGTAACTTCCTACCTGTCCCTTTTTCCCCACAGGATTCTGCTGGAGGTGAGTCACCCTGAGCAGAACAGGACTCAAGTCCCAGCTGCCTGGGACAAGACATGTGTCCTTGCTGCCCCCCATCTTTTGTGCTTCATCTGGTTCCCACAGGGTCTTCTGCAGCCCAGGGAGAATGTCCCTGGGGGGATAACCACATCATGCCTGTGGGAGGGGCTGGAAAGAGAGGAGGTGGTCCCCAGAAGAAACAGAGAAGGACCTGGGGCCTGGGGCAGCCCAAATGGGGATGAGGAAAACATCCCAGATGAGACAGCATTTGAGCTAGAGCTTTGAGGCATGATCAGGAGCCCACTGGACAGCAGACAAGATGGGAAAGGGCCTTATAGGGACTTATAGGGAACAGATAGGGTACACCAGGTAGTGGTCAGGGAGCTGGAACACAGAAAACCAATCCTCTTCCCCTTTGTGCTTGGCCTGTTCCGCTTCTAGAGCCAGAGCTGAATGTGAGGAAGAGAACGTGAGTGTCTTCAGCCCTTGGGCAGCACTGGGGGTCAGGGGGGCTGGACAAACCTCGGGCCACTGAGGCACCATCCTGAAAGTCTAAACCACCCATCACACACCACTTCTGGGAATGCTCTTCTTAGGAGCCAAAGCAAAGAAGGGGAAACTGAGCCCCAAGTAGGGCAGTGGCTACAGCCATAACCTCTGGATTCCCTAGGAACATGTTTGCCTCTTCCTCTCTCCACCCCATGTCATGTCCACCCATCCACTCATGTGTGGGGTCAGTGGGGTAGCAGGGCCCAGGCCAGGAGATGAGAAGCAATCAGCAGCAGAGCTAGACCTCGTCCTGCAACAACACCAGAACCTCCAGGAGAAGCTGGCAGAAGAAATGTTAGGCCTGGCTCGGAGCCTCAAGACCAACACACTGGCCGCCCAGAGCGTCATCAAGAAGGACAATCAGGTATGAGAATTATGGGAACTCTTCACTCTCTGCCCTGGGGCATCAGAGAAGGTTTCCTAGCAGAGGGGCATTGTGGTTGGGTCTTGGCTGGATAAATAGGAGTTTGGTAGAAGGCAAAAAATGGCATCCCCAGCAGAGGAAACAGCACCGGCAAGGGCCAACAGGTGGTGACTTGCATCAAGGCAGTAGGGAAAAGCCACACTCTACCCATCCTATAGATAATCTCCCCCACCTCATCCACAGACCCTGTCGCACTCACTCAAGATGGCTGACCAGAACCTGGAGAAGCTAAAGACAGAATCAGAGCGGCTAGAGCAGCACACACAGAAGTCAGTCAACTGGCTGCTCTGGGCTATGCTTATCATTGTCTGCTTCATTTTCATCAGCATGATTCTCTTCATCCGTATCATGCCCAAACTCAAATAAAGACCTGGCCTGGTGTACCCTATCTGTCCTCTATCTGCCCTCCACTCCTGTCCAGAGGTACCCTTTGGGGTGAGCAACAAGATGGGAAGGCCATTGGAGGCCCCCAAGAACTTCAGAGAGTACATGAGCAGGGGAAGAAAAAGATCAGGCTTCGGGCAGGGGTGGTAACTCAGCAATCCCCTCCCCATTTCCACCTGGCACCTACCCCACACTGGACATGGTGGAGTCCCTAGAGGCCCCAGGAGCCCCCAGTCTGATAGAGTCAGAGTAGAACAGTGCCTTCAGCCCTGTGGAGTCAGGGTGAGGCCTGGAGGATAGGGGAGGAGTGGGGCCATGCCTGAAGGTCAGCCTGGAGGAGGGGGCATCAGTGCTGGGCCTTCGTTACGATTAAAGGTGATAGTTCAGGGGCAGCACTCAGCACAGCCTAAGCTCTCAGGACATTGCAGATGCTTCACACAGTCATTCAGCAAATACAGGAGGGTCGGTGTATGTCCTGCCCTGCCCTGCCCTGCCCTGCCTGCCCTGCCCAGGCCATAGTCTGATCTCTTCAGACGAGAACTGAGCACTGGAATTGCGACCCTGGAAGGAATCATGAGTGGAAGTCCAGGGTAAGAGTGGGTCCTGGCCTTTGTCCACCCCCACTCAGACTTTGGGGACAAAACTTGTGAGGGTGGTGACAAAGGGAGCTTAGGGAGGGTGAACAGGTGACAGGTGCACAGGGGTATGTCTATCCCAGACCCTTGGGAGTTTGAGCAGGCTCTTACACCTCCATGGGATACACATGTGGAGCCCCGTTACCACTGATGCCAAAACATCAGATAGAGATTTTTAAAAGCTCTAGTGGCAGCTTTTTAAAAATAGATCATTAAAAAAGGCTCAAGCCTGAGTCCCAGGAATAAGTCAATGTTAGGAAGCCTGTCAATAGCCACATTAATGCATCAGGAAACAAAACCATAGAGTGGACACGGTGAAATGGTACTCTGTACTATTTCAAAACAGTACAAAGATCTGTTACTCAAAGTCTCTTAATAAAAAATAAGGTAGAAATGGATTTTTCCCCTCATTTAACTGAAAAATCTCAATCCAAAGGCAGCATTGAGTTTAATAGGCAAATACTGGAAGTTTTGCCGTGGAGGGGATGCCCATGGTCCACCTACCTCCCCCAATAATTTAACATTGTCTGGAGGTGTCAGTGCAACTGGACAAGAAAAGAAATGAGTTTGAAAAATGAGAAAAGAGGCAAAATTATTTGCAGATGATACAACCAACTGTCTATATGAAAGACAAATTAAAAAGCCATTTTAATAATTCAATAAGCTAGCAAGGGACTTAATGAGATTTAGTTTCCTATATGTAAAAAAATAAAAAATAAAAAATAACCCTGCAAAACATATTGGAAGATCCCATTTACAACAGCAACAAAAAGATACACTTCCTGCTTAAACTAACTTCCTCAATATAGGAAGAGCTGCTGAAAATCAACAATAAAAAAAGATTTGCAGTCTACAGCCATGCTACCCTGAAGAACCCTGATACTGTCTGATCTCAGAAGCTAAACAGGGTCGGGCCTGGTTAGTACTTGGATGGGAGACCACCTAGGAAGACCAGGTGCTGTAGGAGTAAAAAAATAAAAATAAATAAGGGATTGTAAATTGACAAGGTCCTTGCAATTTGTGAGGTCAACCAAGGGTTGCCTCATCTAAAAATTTAAAAAAAAAAATGATTTGCAGGAAATAAACAGGAAAATAAATGCAAATGGTTTCTAAACGTCTTCACTCACCAGATTAGGCAAAATTTAGAACTTTCAAAATACACTTGCAGAAAACCATGATAACATTAGGGTTGCAAAGGTTTTAGGAAAACCAGCGTTTCTTTCACTGCTGGTCAAATCATCAACAACATAACCTCACTGAAGAACAAATTGACAGTATCTTTCCACAGGTCCCTTTGCGGGGTCAATTCCCCTTCTAAGGATTTATCCCACAGATAATTCACAAGTAGCCAAAGAAATTTACAGGTGAATATTTTTACAGTATTATCTGCAATGAAGAAAATATATTTGTCATTAAATTAAGGATCTTTCCAGCAGACACAATTAAGTGCAGCTTCTGGGGACAGGGCATGTGAGAAATTTATTGTTTGGATTTTCTAAACATGTCTCTAGTACTTAGAAAAGTATTTTTTAAATACAATTGCCTTGTGAATAGATAAGTGCAAGTTTGCCAAAACCACCGGTCTTTCAGACAAATAAGTGAGGGTCAGAGAGGGTAAATCACCGACCCCAAACAAAGCAGGACCGGGTCTCCGTTGGACTCGAACCTGTGCTTCCACAGTGCGAGTATACTTCCCTCGTCGCTAGGCCCCTCCCCTCACCGTCAGCCCCGCCTTATACCACCAGGCCCGCCTCTCCCGTCAGCCCCGCCCCCGTTTTGCGGAGCGACCCCGCCAGTTGGGTCCAAACTGCAGTTAATACACAATCCGGACTCAGGCGGCCCTGAGAGTGAATCCAGGCACAGAGCCCCGGAAGCTGGGACAGGTGACGCCCGGAGGGAGCGTTTCGTGAGGCGCGCAGCCGGGGCGGGGGTCCCGGGGAGCTTCTCTAGGGCGGCGTCCGTGGGTTCCGTGCGCCTTAGCGGGGGAGGTTTCGGCAGCGCAAAGGTTAACGCGAGCCTGGCTCGAAATACACCGTGGCGTCATGGGTCATTTGCATAGCGCTTTGCCGAGTTACGCAGCCTTGCTCTGAGGACCAATCGCGCGTGCCTATGCAAATACAGTGGGGCTGGGAAACGCGCCGGCGGCGGCTGGAGAGTTGTCCTCCACCAGGTTCGCCTCCAGGCGCGTTCTTCTCTCTTGTCCACAGGCTGCCCGCCGACCACCCCCGCCACGCGCGGGACACGACACCC